GGGCAAGCACTTATTCATCTGAGCTATCTTCCCAGCCCTTTTTTTATTTTTTAAAGAATACAAACTAGTAATGAAAAAACAGCATTAGAAATGATACAGAATTTTACTATTTGACAAAGTAATAGGAATTTAAGAATGGGTACTGTATTGCATGTTATCTTCAAATTAGTTGTTTAAATTTAAGACTCTTATTTAGTTGAATTGATGCATAGTTCTCTACCTTTTGTTTTCTGCAATGATAGATATATTATAAAGGTCAGCTAGGAAGAGCTACAGCTTTAAGTGTAACCCCTGAAATGGAAAGAGTGAAGAAGAATCAAGAAAACATTAGCTCGGCAAGTGGTTTTATTTATTTTAGACAATCACAAAGGATGTGCCCTTTTAAATTTACCTCATTCCTGTTCTTTCTTTGTAAGAATAAACTTGTGATATTTCCAGTTAAGTTCATGCGTTATTTCAGATGACTTGCTCAAAGTGGCCACTGTATAAATTTACAATATTCTGCAACTCTTCAGAGTTATTTCCAGATGTGAGTGACACATTTAAAGTTTATTTAAACAATGACTTGTGTTACTTTAGTCAGTATCTTCAAAATTGCTAAAGTCTTTTTGGTACATAAGTTTAGTAATTTTCTTTCTTTCTTTTGCAAAACTGGGGATTGAACTCAGACCCTTGCACTTGCCAGGCAAGCACTTATTCTACTGAGCCAACTCCCTGGCCCCAGTAATTTTCATTTTACTCATGTGTTTATTGAGCTTTTCTTGTAAAGCTCTCTTTGCAAAACAAAGTAGGAAATGGAGTCATTACTCTAACATAAGGATTTAGAGGGGAAAATAATGCGTAATATGGAATTGAGCTCTTCATGAAAGTTAGCATGGTACACATTAGCATCTTCTCTGGCTAGTATGCTTTCTCTCCGTGAAGTTGTGACTTGTGTTTTTAATTGTACATATGCATTTTAGATCTGCAGTAAATGTTGTTCTGATCTTACACATGATTAGCTTCATGAAAGACAGTGTTCTAATGATCAGTGTTGAGAACACGGGCTCTATTTCTGGCTTACCTAGGGATCAGTGCTTAGGTGCATAATTTCCAGCTCTCTGGTGGCGTTTTTATCTGCTGATACTGAGTGTAGTCAGCATAAAGTATCTCTACACTGTGGTTGCTTAGAAGGGAAACTAGGGCTGGTGAGATAGCTCAGTGGACTAAACACCTGCTTAGACGAGCACAGGTACCAGGGTTTGGTTGCTGGCCCCAGCCCCAGGGGCATGCTGAGCTGGCCACAGAGACTGGGTGTGGTAGCACAGGCCTAGAATCACAGAGCTGAGGAGGCTGAAAAAGGAGGATCACTACAAGTCTGAGCTGTGCAGTGAGATCTGTACCAAATACATTAAAAAAAAAAAAAAAGAGGAGAACTAGATTTATTCCTCATTATTTGTCATTCTCTAAAGAGGGAAAAAGAAAAATAGAGGGAAGCTTGGTATGTACCTTTCAACATTGTTATAGCAGAAAATGGGGAAATTTAACAACAGAAAATAAACTTCAATTCTATTTAGTTTTGGATATTTCCTGTTTAATTTAAATATGAGAACCAGTTTTACTGACTACATTGCTGGTGACTGTTGGTTACACACATTTGTTTTCAGTTGATAAAGAAGATTAAGATGTATTCACCATAGCCTGTGAGGAAGATCTTTAGGCTGGTGTTCTGGAACAAAATGTAATTCACTGAAATGTTAACTGGAAAATAACTGGAAAAACTTACCTGAAAAAATATTGTATAAGTTTCACTCATTTGGAAAAGTTAAAAAAGTCATGTAATTTCCAAATTATACTTATTCTATTATGATTAGGTCTACTTTTTTATTTTGCAGGTGAAATATACCCAGGATCATAAACAGATGAAAGGTAGAGCAAGTCTGGTTCTAGATACGCCTAGTCTGAGACATGTTAAAGAAGCACAAAACCATATTTCAATGGTAGGGTGAAACTGTGTCATTCTTTTCATGACTTAAATCTACTAAGGAACGACAAGACCCAATGTATTGATGGGCTTAGATCACTATTAATCTGGACAACTAACAAAGCATGAAAACTTGGAAAAGCCTTTTGTTTTGTTTTGTTTTGTTCAGGGGCATGATTTCTTTCTTTCTTCTTCTTCTTCTTTTTTTTTGGGGGGGGATCCTTTCTAATCACACTGAAATGTAATGAAATTATTTAGCCTAATAAAATACTTTTTCTCTGTGACTGTTTTGGTGTGTTTTTATTTCTAATGTCATTACTATAAGTGCATTTTATAGAGACATTTGACCAGAGTTCTTTCCATCTAATTTTCAGACAGAATTTGGTATATTTGCATGTTGTAAATATATGAAAAATACATTTTAAAAATGCTTTCATTAGATCTAAGTTATCTATCATAAACTTCACCATTTAAGGTACCTAATTCAATGTAAATGAATCATATAATTTGTGGACTGCTACAGTTTTTGCTCTGATCCAGTTTTAAAGCATGTGAAAACCTATGTTTTATAATATTTATAGATTTTTTAATAGTTATATACTAAAATTGTGTGTAACCTTACCTATACCTCTCAATTTAATTTTAAGCAAGTTGCTTTGAATAACTAGGGATAAATGCTTATTATTCTATTGTATATTGAAAGTTAATACTTAAGAAGTTAATTTATATTTAAATTAGCATATTCGAGGAAGCAACCAAGATTCTAATCATTCTCTTTTGCAAATTCTCAATAATATGCTAATTTATATACAATTTGAGTAGAAATACCATCCTGATTACAAACATGTGAAAATGTCAGCACTTGGTCTAACAAATTGTTTTGGGATAATTGGAAAAGATACATGTATGCAAGATGCATCTGTCATTTTATCAATATTGTGTGAGACAAGCAACAACTGGGAAACTTCAATTCCATTAATGTGTTGCTTTTCTTTTTTCAGGTAAAATACCATGAAGATTTTGAGAAGACGAAGGGGAGGGGCTTTACCCCCGTCATGGATGACCCTGTGACAGAGCGCGTGAGGAAGAACACTCAGGTTGTCAGCGATGCCGCCTACAAAGGCGTTCAGCCTCACGTGGTGGAGATGGACAGGAGACCCGGAATCATTGTCGGTAAGCAGGTGGTCCAACAGTGGTGGCAGATGTGGCCAGCAGGATTGTGCTTGCTTTTACTTAGATCACCTGACTCCTCAGCAGATGTTTGGTGTGGTGCTCGATTCTAGATGGATGACAGATAAAGTGTTATTTTGTACCATGTTGAATGACATTCATGGCATTTACCGGGTATCATGCAGAACATTCTATTCTTGGAAGTTCTCTGTGCTTAATATCTCTAATGTCATTCCATAGAATGAACAACTTATTTTATTGTTTCTGGAAAATTGAGAACCTTCTAGGCAGTTGGTGGCTTTGTTCATCTTCCCCGGTTTATTACTTAGAAGGATCACTTTCACTTATATGGATGAATTGTGCTGTTTTCTTTAAAAACTACAAAAAAGTAGACAGTTTCATTGCTGGGACCTAAGATGTCACAAGAGAGTGTGAAGGTCTGATTTATCTCATTAGGGTGGGAACTCACCCAGGGACAAGGATCAGAGTTCAGCCATGGCGGTGAGACCATTGCTGAAAACCACAACCACAGAACTCTCTAGATTTTAGATTCAGAAACTATCATCTTTGAGATTACTATTTCAAAGTATACTCAGTTTTCTTTGGAGATTTGCCCATGAAGGTACAGAGTGGAACACATTCAATGAACATTAAACTCTCCAGTGAACCAGCTTTGGTATCAGGTATTGAATGCAAATTTACAGATTTTCTAAGCAAAGCAGGCTAGGACAAATTGTGCTGCTTGTTTTTGTTGGAGGTACTGCTACTTACTAGTCTGATAACCTTGGGTAAGTTTGACCAAGCTGTTGACTCTCACTGTGCCTCAGTTTCCTCATCTGTAAAATAGAGAAAATAATAGTACCTACTTTAATATATGTGCATATATATATAGCATAAATGAATCAAATTATAACTGGCATAGAATAAATACTGCATAATATTAATTAAAAACTGACAGTTAAATCTCCAGTTTTAGTTTATTAATTATTTTCCCTCTTACTTTATTTCTACTATTGGGTCCACAAGTAGGTTCTTACTTTTCCGCTGTATAACACTATGGTGGTCATTGTAGATCTTTATACCACTAGTTGGGGTGACTGATAAACTGAGAAATTATCAAATTTGGGTTTCTGTCTCTAATAAAAGAGGGTACATTGGCTTACATAGTCTATATGATCAGCTTTCTGTTACTGTGACAAAAATATCTGAGAGGGGCCCGGAAGATGGCTCAGTGGAATAAGCACTTCCCTGGCAAGTGCAAGGGCCTGAGTTCAATCCTCGGTTCTGCCAAAAGAAAAAAAAAATCCGAGAAAATCACTTAAAAGGACAAATGTATTATTTTGGCTTAAAGTTTCAGAGGTTTCAGGCTGTGGTTAACTGGCCTAGTGGCTCTGGGCCTGTGGCAGCACAGGACATCATGTGATAGAGGAAGACTACTTGCTTCAAGGCAGGTGAGAAGAAAAACAGAAAGCAATGTATGGGCTGCGGAGCACCCCTAAGCATCTCAAGGGCACATCTCCAGTATTCTAACTTCCTTCCACAAGGCCATACTTCCTAAAGATTGTACTACCTTACAGTTGCTCCACAGGCTGCCCACTAAGCTTCTACCCATGAGCCTCTGGGAGACACTGTAGATCTGATCATTGACTACCACAGTGAACCAATCTGTAGCCCATTAAGAACAGGAGGGTGCTGTTATTCTGCATTCCATCCCTCATCATTCCTTGCTGGATGCCTCACTTTCAGCACTTTTTGATAAATGTGTCTTCTGAGGCTTCCCTTGCTCACGTACTCAGAAGAAAGACAGTGCTCCCCATGTGCCTGCATTTCTGGTCTTTGTTGCTGTTATATAGAGAAGGTTTTTATTTGTTTTGCTTTGAACAACTACCTCTTGATCATTTTCTTTAAATAACTTACATACCCTTCATCAGGAACTTTTATCAAATACTTTGTCTGCTTCAGTGGGTGGGCAGCAAGAGGGTTGGGTGTCACAGGGGTGCCACAGGGCTACACATAGTGACTTATTAGGTACACCCCATGTATGAAGAATCATGGGTCCCTTAGCAGAGTCTGCCATGGCAACTCAAGGAACTAGGGACTCAAATTTGAGTAAGTTTTCTTAACAGGTACACATGAAAGTGAATATCCTTTTGTTCTCTTCTGAATTTCCTAGCATGGTGGGTTATTGTGCTTTTGCCTTTTGCTTGACTCTCTTTGGAACCGATTTTTAAAGCTCCATTTTATTTGTTGGTTTCTTCCTTTTGGTGAAAGACCTCAAAGTGTGGCGCACGGATCCTGGCTCCATCTTCGACATTGATCCCCTGGAGGACAATATTCAGTCTAGGAGTCTGCACATGCTCTCTGGTATCACTTACACTTTGGGTTCCTCTGCTTTTGTCCTAAAAGTGGAACTACTGTGAAGCATTGAAGTTCATTGTAGCAATCATGCAATGTGAATTTTAAAACTGAGAATTAGAAAAGTCAGAAAAATTCTAGGCCACTTTAAAATACCATTAATTATTTATGAAAGCAAAACTTACAAAAGAGCTCTATAATAAATCCTAGATTAGTTTGTCCCATATTCATTTAAAAAGAAGCGTGGAGCTTACTTGTTTTTTTTTTTTATTAGTGAATCTGATTTTATAGGCTTTCAGGGTTTACAAATGCATTTATTTGGATTGCACTAAGCTTTTGGGATATTAAAGAGATTTGTTTCATGAAACAACGTGTAACTATTTTAAAGATAGATTTTAAGAATTATGTAGAGAACAGTAGAAAAATTTTCTATCCAGCATCATAAATGTCTTAAAAGGGAATAAAAAATATTCAGAATGATTTTTGAGGGTTTATAAAATGAACAGTTTCTGTAGAAAGCAAATATGACTTTTAGCTGAGTATGTGTGCCATTAAAGGCAAAAATGAATGGTTTGCATAAAGTGATGACATGATTCACCATTTCAGGCTTTTGGACTATCTTTGAAAATAAGTCTGAACATGTTTGATAGTTATGTAGCTCTCTTAAGTGATATAAATAATGTAGAATATAATATCACTAAATTCTTGTTATACCTTCTGTGTTTTATTTTTAATTGTTAATGAAACTGAGTGCCCAACACAGAGATTCTAATACTTTAATTTGATCCACATAGCCATATTATATAATTTTCTAAAAATAAGAAAAGGCAACAAATACTGTGTACATATTGACACTTGAAAGAAAATTTTAAATAACCAGGTGTTCCATTTGATAGAAGTACATGAGTTTGTTAGTGTTTCCTTGGTTTTTGCCAATTTCCTGTGCACCAATCTCTTTTAAAATCTAGATTTTAAATCAAGGTTAAGTAACCTTTTGATCACTCCCAAAAGCATGCTAAAGTATGGGAGTAGGTGGATAGAATCTTATAAATGGTGAGATTTGGGATTGTTCCTTACTAAGGATTGTTTTTTTCTTTCATGTTAAGCTTGTCAGTAATTCTGTAAGTCACTTAATGGCATGACATGTCTGAATATTTTCCCTCCCATATAGAAAAGGTGAGTCTCTATAGGAGACAGCGGTCTCAATCCCATTCCAGCAGTACCTTTGGTACAGGTCTGGGAGATGACAAGTCAGAAATCTCCGAGCTCTACCCTAGTATTTCATGCTGCAGTGAGGTTACAAGACCATCCGATGAAGGAGGTATCAAATCTTAGCCACTCACAAAGGACATGAATTGATTTTTAATGTGCCTTTCACAGGAATGTCTTTAACCTATTTTTCACCTTTGCACAAACATTCAGCCTGGGTGTTTTGGAAAATTTAATATTAAATTTTAAAAAGTAAGAATTTCTTAAGGTACTAATTTGCATTTTTGCATGTTAGTTTTTTTTTTCCTGTCTCCACTATGATCACTACAAGTGGATGTGTACTAACAGAAGGGCTTGTGAACTTGCTGTGAGAACTGTTTTGCAAGTTGTCTGAGACTGACCCACACAGTCACAGTGGAAAGTTGAGTTCTGCATAGTTTGTATCTGATTTCCACTAAGGGCCCAAAATTGTGATCTTATTGTAATATTTGAGTGGTCAAGGGTCAGGGAGACAGCTCATGACTTGGTGAGTGTTTCAACACTGATAAATATGCAGACTAAATTAAATCTTGCCGCAGACAAGTGTGATACTTGTGATACAATTTTTTTTAAATGGGATATACTGGTGATTGGTAACATTCTTTTTCTTTTATTTATCCACCCTTTCTATACCTTCACCTCTGTTTTGCATCCAAGCGTATGGATTAGATCTAGAACTTTCGGTGAATTCTGCAGCATGTTAAACTGAACTGGTATTAAAGTTTTAACTCTATTATGAAGCACAGGAATCCTGAATTTCCTTGTCAACCACAAAGGTCACATTGCTGAAGTTCCTAATGCTGGACATGTCAAGGTTGAGAAACTTAATGCTCAGGGACAAAAAGTAATGTTCCTTGAAGACCTGAAGAAACCATGAAAACCCTTGTAATATGTAATCATTTTTCTGGTTTATTGCAATAGCCTGTGAATAAGCATAACATCAGTTATCATCTGTATATTTTGAACTATTTCTGCACATTTTGGATTTGGGCTGGCCTTGTTGTGGTAGAAGGCTTTTAGGGGTGTCTTTTCTCTATAATTCTAAAGAAATAGCTATAAACTAGTTTAACTTTATTGTAGATGAAATACATATGAAGAGACCTTCCCTTTCTGTATCTGGTTATCTAATGAAAGGCATAGTAATTTAGGGATTTTTAACCTGGGATTACTGATTTATTTCTTCCTTCAGGGTCCTCCTGGTTTTGGATGTACAGGATAATCTTGATGCTTGGTGAGATAAATACACCCAAAGCACAGATTTTAGTTAACTTTATTTAATACTACCTAGTTGAGAAGACTGCAGTTGATCTTGTTCCCATGTGCTAAATGTCATAGAGCAGGGGTAGTGAACCTACGGCACGTGTGCTGCAGAGAGCACATGAGTTGGGCGGCCCCAGCATCACCCCAACAGCAGAGCATCGGTTCACAGTGCACACAGGGGCCATACTGGCATGTGTTGGCACTTTACAATAAATAAGTGGGCTTTGCACTGCAGTTTGTGCACTAGGTCTCTAGGAGGTCCACCATCACTGCTGTAGGGTCTTTGCCCCCCAGTCTTTCCCTCCCATCTGCATACACCAGCACAGTGCTCATTCACTTATTCACCAAACATTAGATGAGTGCTCTTTGTATACCAGCCAAAAGCTTGGATCTGCAGCGCACATGGCAATGAGCAAAGGGGAGATACATCTGTTGCACGGGCCTTGGCATCTGACGGTGAACTCTTGACACTAAGCAGATGTTTATACAAGTAACATCGACTGTGAGCAGTGTTGGATGGGCGTATGAGACGGGGGTTACAAGATGTTCAACAGGGCAGCTCCATCTGGCCTTGATATTGGGAAGTTATTTCAGGGAAGGGAGGTTTGGGCTGATGTGAATGTTAGAAGAGTGAACATTCCACAGGGCTCTAGGGGGAAGATGCAGCTGACAGAATGGGACATTGTGACTAGGCGCCACTGGGCCATTTGAGTGGAGGTGTCAGGTGGGTGAGCAGAGCACTGAGGAGAGCCTGCAGCGCAGGTAGATTTGAAGTCACCATCCGAGCCATGACCTTGGGGGGAGAATTCGGCGCCACCTACTACAACTGCCTTGCCTCCCTGCACTGCAGTGATGGTGACCAGATAGCCCATCACACTATATGCTCATTGTCAAGATTTTAGAATCCACTGAGGTTTTTTCTTTTAAGGAAATGTTTTGCTGTGTAGTTCAGGCTGACTTTGAACTCATTATGTAGCTCAGGCTGGTCTTAAACTCATATGAAAATCCTGCAACAGCCTCCTAGTGCTGGAATTACAGGCGTGTCCAATCACATCCAGCATTTTTTGTATTCTTGTTCTCAAACCATTTTTTTTTTCGGAACCAGGGATTGAACTCAGGCCCTTGCACTTGCCAGGCAAGTGCTTATTCTTCTGAGCTATCTCCCTGGCCCCACTCAATCCATTTTTAAAAAATAAATAAATTCTATTGCTAGCAAGAGAACCCAATACTAAAGCAAATCTAATGAAAAAAGTCTATTAAAATAAAGTGTAGATAAAAATTCTTGCATTTATGTTAGGAATTGAGTAGTGTAAAGAAGAGGAACATTTAAAAAGTAAAATCACTTCAGACCTCATGGAAGGCAGCAGGGGCCAGATTCTGAGCAGGCAGAGATGGCTTGTGACTCAAAGAATGCCTCGCAAAGAAAAGTTGACTCGCGGGAGGCATTTATAAGTTTCTGTCATTTGTCGTCACTTGTTACAAGGCTAAGACGCTGAGTCTTTAGTGACATTTCCTGACTTTGAAACTGAAGTTACTGAAGTATGAAGTTAAGAATGTGCCTTTATGTTAGGAAGGCTTCTAACATAAAAACAAACAGTGCCATACCCGCAAGCCATCCATGCTCCTTTGAGTAAACTTGAAGGTATGTGGAAATGCGCTCCTGATTTTATTCTTTTTAAGTGAAGGAAAGCCTGTCTGCCAATGACACCTAATGTCTGTATTCAAATAACTAGGGATGTGTTAAGCTCAATGCTGTCAAAACCACCTCCCCTTCTCCATGCTCACTCTCTAAAGCTGCTGCTCCCCTGGGCTTCCCAGTTTACTAAATAGTGCCTGCAATCATGTAGACAGTGAAGCTAACCTCCTTGGAGATGTTGTCAACTTTTATCCTTTATTTATGCTTCCAGTCCATTCAGATACCTCATCAGCTCTACCATGGCACAAATATCTAAAGTCTGGTTCCTTGTCCCCTTCTCTGCTGTTGCTGTGTATCAGCTCCTACCATCTCACATTGGCACCTTTCGGTCACCTCCTGACTGGTTTCCTTTCTACCCCTGCTGCTCTGTGCCCAGCCACTCCCCTGGCTCCTCTGTCCAGCTAGGCCAGGTCTTTAGCATTGTGTGCTCACAGACTTTGTCATCTTTTGTTCTATTGTGTCTCCAGCTCTTGGAAGAAGCGTGACCTTTGGGTGCTATGCGGGGACCGAGGTTTCCTGCGTCCTGCTCTTAGTTGTAAATGGGCTATTGGCTTTTCATCAAGGAATCCAATTAATACCAGAGTTGATCAGCTAGAGGAGAGCAAGAAAGGCATATTCATTGTACACATCCATGGGGGTCTACATAAGACAGTAAAGTCTGAAGAAATCACCAAAGCATGATACTTTCAGAACTTTTAGACTGATAGCAAATTTTAAACAGCTGAGAGGACAAATGAAGAGCTGAACTAAGACCATAAGTTTCCAGGGATATTACTGAGAGATAGATTGGAGCTGTAGAAATTAGTAGGAATGTCCCTTTGGACTTCATTTATTTAGATTCAGCTTCATTTGCAGGTCCTTGGTAATCAAGGCTATTTCTCAGCCTTGGAATGGGACGGACACCCCTACCAAGGCATCTTTAAGGGTTATGCAGGAAAGGAAGATCCCCCTGTGGTCTTTTCTAAAGTTATAGTGGTGGTAACCAGATAGTCCATCACACTAAATAGTGCCTGCGATCTTGTAGACAGTGAAGCTAACCTCCTTGGAGATGTTGTCAACTTTTATCCTTTATTTATGCTTCCAGTCCATTCACATACCTCATCAGCTCTACCATGGCACAAATATCTAAAGTCTGGTTCCTTGTCCCCTTCTCTCAGGTGACTTCAGATAAAAATAATAAGTGAGCCAATATAGCATATGTTGCCCTCAGTCCTTCAAAACCCAGGTGCAATCGCCTGACTTCTCTGCTGCCACTTTCTCCTGAATGTGACCAACACCCTCACCATGGCTTGCATAGCCCTCATCTGATCTTGGGCCCTGGCTGCTGCTCTGAGTTCATTTCTCACCATTCTCAGGAGCTCACCCATTCTTCCCAGTCTCCTTCCTTTACTCTGACTTTGTTAGACAGCTCCTGGCACTGTCCCCCACCCCCCGACTGTGACACTCCCCCCTGCCCCCCAGCTGTTTGTCCTACACAGTTCTTCCTGTTTCTGCTCTGGTGATCCTTTAGGAGAGCAGCTCTCTCCAAATACTAGAGATTAAATTGCACGCTCCTGCCATGGCCTGTCCCTTCCCAGGACCCACTGCCACCTGAGATAGTGCGCATGCATTTATTTGTGTGATGTCATCTCTGTCCAGCTAGGCTAGGTCTTTAGCATTGTGTGCTCACAGACTTTGGCACCTTTTGTTCTATTGTGTCTCCAGCTCTTGGAATAAGCTCTCAGCAGGGATTGTGATGGACTGAAATAACTCAATTAATATTTTGAAAACTAGAACCACCACTATGAATGAACACACACACACACACACACACACACACACACACACACACGTGCATGCGCATGCATGTGTAATTATTTTTGTAGAACAATATTCTTTTGTAGAAGACTTCAAAAGAATTTCTTATACTTTTGATATGTTTTGATAACATTAAAGTATAGCTCAAGAGCCAGCTTCAAGTAGAAACATTACCAGGGCCTCCCCCAACCCCCAACTTCTGTTGGGGACAAGAAGACATAATCTCCTTGACTTCTGGGGAGCTTTGAAATGTAGGGTCCCCTTTGAAATGTCTGTTCTGTGGGGCTCTGTTAAGGAGGTGCTGATTGATTGGCTGAAAT